AATGTTTAGAGGAAATAAGACAAATGCTTTGCCCCTAACAGAGTAACACGCTCCCTGCTACGTAACGACCAGCTCCTTTGGCCAGCACCAGGGAAGGAAAAGTCCTTTTTGACATCTTCCTCTGGGCACTCGCTCCCTGAAATTTTCACGTCAGCCTTTTAGGGAGGAACATCCTTTCACTCATAAATTCACACAAAAGTGATAGTAACTGTTCATAGGCTGTTTCCAGAGCTGTAAAAAGCCTTCCAGACACATTGCTGGGAAATAAATTGTGCGATTCTACATCCCATGCTCAGGCAAACAGCCATGGCACGTTCAGAAGGATGGTCTGTATGAGTAAACGCTACTTAGTACAAACACAAAGTGTAGACTTGGGCCCCAAATAACTCACTGTAATTACAGGACAACACTATAACTTGGACTATTACAGAAAGGTGATGAATGCAGCAAACACTAAGTCTGCAAGGACTTTACCTGGGAGCGTGAAGTCTGACACAACTCTGTCTTGCCCCAGCACTTTAGTTGTGTTCAAGATAATGCTCTAAGCGCTCACTTTTTTTCCCGGAAGGTAAACTGTAGTTGTCAAGGAATAAACACCTCCATGTGCTTGGATTAAAACATTTTAACAGCTCTTGAAAGCTGATAACAACCCCCTCCCAGGCCTGAGTCCAACTTCGAGGGTTCTGGTCTAAGTCCAGTGTTGTTGCATGCCCCGTGTCATTTTATTGCCGCAATAAAGCGGGGAGAAGGGAGGGAGAGGCAGCGACCTGGAGAAGGAGGTCCAATGAGCACAGGTGTTCCTGCCACACACACACAATATCCCGAGCTGGGCCTGAGCTTTAAATACCCAAGATTATCAAATTCCCATAAACTCCTCCAAGATAGTGCTGGTATTACTTTATCGGAAAGGCATTCCAGCCAGCATACTTTGAATTAATCTCACAATCTCCAGGCAATTTATGGTCCACAAAAAATAAGTTACCCCAGACTTTCCCCCGCACTGTCCCCACGAAGGCCTCGTGAGTCATTTCGCAGAGCAAGTACAACCAGGGCACTTTTTGTTTTCTTGAAACGTATTTGAAAGGAATAGAAAACTTCAGGGTGCAGCACGAAGCATAGCTGGTGCTCTGCATGTGTGTACAAATGTTTCAGGGGAAAACATCTCCCTCCAGGCCTGAGGGGGGTCCCAAGGGAGACCCCTCAGCTCTGCCTTGCTCAGGGCCTCAGCCTCCCGTGTCTAACTCTGACAGGAAAAAACCAACTAATTCTTACAGAACCTTCAGTAACTCTCACAGAACTCTCACTCAGCTACTGTGAGGACGATTTTACCTCCGGCTTCTCTGGACGCCCAATGCAGAGCTGCCTCCCGAAAAAAGCCTCTCACGCCGCGCTCCCGCACCGGGGGTCTCCACGACCACCGGGCGCAGAGGCCGAGGAGGGGAGGGAGGGAGGCCTCGTAGGGGCTGCGGGGAAGCTGGGGGGGGAGAAGGAGGAGGAGGAGGAGGAGGAGGAGGAGGAGGAGGAAGGAGGCCTGAGCGGGCGGCACCCAGGTGGAGGCGGCGGGGCCCGCTGAGGCGAACGCCGCCGCCCCGCCCGCCGAGCCAGTCCTGCCGCGTCAGGCGGCCCCGGCCCCGCAGTCCCCGCCCGGCGGCGGCGCTGCCCGGCTGGTTCCACAACTTTTTGACAGTTTCTCAGCAGCCCAGGAGGGGGAAAGCAGCCTGGGCTCCGGCTGCGCTGGGGCCGTGAGCGCTCTCCGGAGGAACGAAGCCCACCTCTCGCCGCCGGCACCATGTCCCGGGACCCCGAGGAGGTGAACAGGCTGACGGAGAGCACCTACAAGGTGAGCGCGGGGCGGGGGCTGCCCGCCCGTCACCGCCGAGCCTGAGGAGACGGCGGCAGACGGAGGCAGCCAGGGCCCCTCTCGCAGAAAGGGAGTCGGCTCCTTGGGTTTTCGTTTATTTTTTTTATATTATTATTTTCTTTTTATGAGTAAGCTCGCCTGTCCCACCGCGCCAGAGCCCTGCTGCTCGGTGCTGGCTTCTACGGCGTGAATAACGCCAAGGGGCTTGGGCAACAGGTTTGGGGCATGGCAGGCTTTAAGACTGTTGTTTTTTTTTCCCCTCCTCAGCAGGCTCGGTTCTCCGAAAACCATAATTCCCCCGGTGTGCTTTAATGAGAACGCGGTTCGGAGAGCTTGGGGTTTGCGGTTCTCTGCTTAAGCCATTCCTTGATAGGGGCCAGAGCCTGGAAGTGGCTTAACGGTGAATTCAGTCCTGAGCTGATAATCTGATTTATGGAGGGACGGCCGAGCGTGATTCAAGGTGTCTGCTGGAAAAAATAGCCCGATTTATGTTGGTAGACTTCTCAACTTTCTAGAAATGCCTACTTACTACCAGAATGAAAAGTATTTTGTGTGCTGGCAGGAGGCACTCAAACTTTTTCTTTCAACAAACAGCCCCTCCAAAACACACAAAAGGGAAAAAAAAAAAAAAAAAAAGGCAAAATGCCCTTGAAAATCCTGCGTTTGAGTAGCAATAGCAGTCATAGATCCATGATCTTTATTCTGTGCAGTGTGTTGTAGTACAGAAATTGTTCACATTTGCAAATGTATTTAATCATGCAAATGAACCTACAGCTGCAATGTATTTACAGCTTCAAGCCCAAAGGAAGGCTTTCTGGAGATTGTTCTGTTTTGCTGTTTACTCAATTGTACTGGCATACTATCAAATGTTTTCATATTTCTGAAGATGTTGGTACAGTATAAAGGTCTCCGAAAACTTTTACAGGAGTATTTTACTGTTTTGTTGTTCTCTGACACACAAGTCAACTTCACTCCTTCAAGTAGTCCACCTATGTCAGTGTCATGTCATATTTCTGTTTAATTTCTCTTAGATACTAAATTCACGTAAAATTACTGTAAAAATGAGATTAGTTGGCAATAAAGGTTGTCCTCTAGGATCAGTGTAGGTCTTAAACAGTCTGTTGCTTTTTGATATCAGTTACTTTCATGGCAAGGCCATAAGCAAACAAATTCTTTTTTCTCAGAAAAACAGTCCGTAAGTACAGGCTCGCAGATGAGAAGCCTGGGAAGTTCAGGGCTGTGCTGAAGAAGGAATGCCCTACCCTGTCTGTTGGCTTCCAGAATGTAGCTAAAACAGGACAGAAGATCTTTTATTTGTGAGTTTTAACGGATATACTATGAAATAAGTTTTAAAGGAATGACAGACCTCTAAATAAACATAAACCTTCCCTGGTACTTAGTACTTGCTTCCTGGGAAAGCTTACCCCCCTTTTTTTTTCTTTGTTTTCTAAACTAATTCAAAGGGACACTTAAGATTGGAACAACCAGCAAAACCACAGTAATACGATGTTAATGTTGACAGTGTGATGAAATGTCTTCTATGCGGATATTTTGAGAGGTCTGGTATGTTGCATCACATAGCTAGTACTCACAGGCCTGGAAACCCTCCTGCCCTGCCCTCATTAAAAATGGAAACTTTATCCAGATAAGGTATAAAGGCTGCTTCAGGTAGACCCAGAATCCATTCTCTGCTTTAAAGTAGTTATTTCTATATCAAAGTTAAAATCTGGAAAATAGTTCTTTGCTTCTTAAGGGCAGAGAGAACTGGCCTCTGTGTTCAGCGTTTGCTGTGACTACAATTACACCTCACTCATTTAAAGCACATGAACGCTTCTTTGTGCCATGTTTCCGCCTGCCCGGTGAGCGTGCTCTCCGCTCAGCAGCATCCCTGTAACTTCTCTTGCTGGGTGCTGTCCTAGCAGCACAGTGCTCAGAGCACCACGCTGGTATCAACCAAGTCAGCTGCAGTGTTTGTGTTTCTCTTACCAACAAGAAGGCTTGCTCTGGAGAAACCATCTCGATGTAGTGTAGGGATGGCATCTGTGTGCTGCGGGATCAAACGCAGGCTTTCAGCGTCTCAAAAAAAAATTTAACCTTCCTGTGACCTGGAAAAATAATAGGAAAATAAGTTTAATGCCTTGCCAGTCTGTTTTCCTTTTTTTTTTTTTTTGTTACTTCTATTCAGTAGTGCTAATCCACTGGATTTATTAAACACATAGTAACCTGTGCTATAGAAAGCTTTGAAATATGCTTACAGAGATCACCAAGTGGCTAAAAGTGCCCTTGTATTTTTATCTTATTCATCCTTTTTGTTGGCAACGACATAGGGAAGCGAATACTTCAACATATTTTAGCTAACCTGACTGAATAAACAACATAATCCACAAATACGTGCATGTGTACACACATGAAAATCAAGGTTGACATTTGCTCTTTATGTAATACCTGAAGAATTATTTTAGTGCATGATAGGAATGGCACGTGCGAAAGGAAGCCCGAGGGTGTGGGAGCCTGTGAGCAAGGAGGGCCACAGCCTCCGCTGTACCCGGGTGCTCCTGTGACGCCTCCCGGCTCTCGCCACCACTGCAGTGACACGTCACGCTCGCTGTGCGGGACATTTCGTGACCTCCACGCACAGACCGTGTCCATCGGTAACCAGGAAAGCCAGCGCTTCTTGGAGTGCCACTGCAGCTGATGCAGTTTCCTTTTATCGGCTGTGTAAGGAGGTCCATTTGTCATCTGGCTGTGTACACTGTCCATTTGTCATCCGGCTGTGACACAAAGCAGGGGAAAGGGGAAAAAGGTGGAAGTGCTGGGTTATACACCCGCGGTTCTGTCCGTGTGGTCTGAGGGCTGTGCCCACATGTATTGCTCCTCTGGTTTGAGGCTTCTGGAACTGCTGATATTTCACGGGTGTTGATCATCTTGAATTGTAAAGATGAATTTCTTAGTATAAAAGTAAATTTTATCAGGAAATTTTCATTATCACCCAAAGTATGTGATTAGACTTGAAAAAAATAAGTTTATTCCATGGAGTGCTGTGTTACTGTCATTGAACAGGGGCATGTAGAATTATTTTGGTAGGCTATATGGCTTTCTCCTTGAAATATTTCTGACAAACTCAGTTTAAAACACTAACTTCCACATATCCACATTTTAAAAAGGCTTACAATTAGATTAGACCACCAGACTTACTGTCAGTAGTTAAAATTCACTTGTGGCATGCTGCAGGAAGGGTATTGTTTTGAATCACCAAAATATAAATCCTAATTTGGGGGAAAAAGGGCCTCTGGGAGTCTGTGAGCATATAAATTCTAGCTTAGTACAAGTTATCTATTTGACCTTACTTAGTTATGTCTGCTTATATTCTGTCTTGGGTCACACATTCATAACCTGGAAAACTTTGTAGTTAGAACGCATTGGTGGACGATGTATTAATGTTTCTCTTAAACATGAAACATCAAGCTGACTAATAATTAGTCATAAGAATTAGACTTTTTGATTAAACACTGTCATCCTGATTTTTTTTTCTCTGTTCTGTTAGACCTGTTTTAAAACAATATTAAGCCAATTTACAGCTGAGATGGCTTAACATGAGGACTTAATCCTGCACTTATGAAAGCTTTATTCTGGATTTCAAAGAGATGAGATGTAATAATGTACAAAATGGAACACTATGATTGGCTTTCTATAGGGCCTTTTGAATCTCCTCAACGGGTTCTCAGACAACATGAAAGACTCAAAAAAATTAATGTTGCTGTTTTTTTCTAATTGACTTGTAACGTTATAAACAAACTAGTGGCTATACAAAGGTTAGCTATAAATAGCAGTAGTGATAGTAATATGAGTAACATTAGACCTACTTTTCTGTCTTAGTTCTGTAATTTCGGATTTTGACCTAAATACATTGTTATCCACTCTTGCAAAAGTGCCTGCAGGATGTAAACTTGAAACTACGGGGAGTCTGTGCATTGTTTGGCTGTACCCATACCTGCTGAGCTATTGTTCTGCGAGCTGTGTCTTTAAGTAAGAAGCAAAGCTGCGCCTTTACAGGAAGGCACTTTTACAATGGCTTTCATTTGTTTTGAAGATTAACCTTGTTTATATGGCTATCAGGAACTGTGGAAGATATGATACCTGTACCCAGGTGGAAATACACCGCTTGTTGCTCCTTAGTCTTTTCTGCCAGGCTGGTTAACGCGTTGGTTTCATGTGGTGAAGGGCATACAGCAACCTTCATACCAGAGAGTACATCCCCCTTCAGCTCTTTTTTGGGAAGATCACTTGTGCCAACTCTAACATTCTGCATAAAAAGATGTTTCCAGTTGCCTCTCTTGAAAGTGTTTCCCTTCGTTTCCATTCATCCTAAATAATAGAAAGCTGTAGGATCTAATCATGTGCCTCCTGTTCTTTTCTAGTTAATTACTCCATTCACAAGAGGTAGTGTGTCACTAGAATATAGGGCATGAGATTGACAATTAGGAGGCCTGGGCTGCGTTGCTCACTGAACAGCCAAACGATGTCTTGTGAACTACTTTCTCTCAGCTGTTCCCTTACTTTGTCATGTCCCACAGAACTGAGACCAAAGTTTTATTACAATGTCTGCGTACAGCACAGCGGTTGTCAAATAACATAGGGGTCGTGTTACTTCTGACAGCTTTAAGGCAGTGGGCCTCGTGCTCAGAAATTCCTCTGCTCTGCCATCTCTGCTTTTTTAATTCTCAGATCTGGCTTTAATGTATGACTAGTGCTACTGGTGGTTGGTCCCAGTCCTTGTCGTGACCTTTTCCTTAGACTACAGATACGGGAAGCTGTAAAATAGTAAGGCATCACCTGAAAATAAACAGCTATAAAATTGATTTCTGAGTGGCTTGTTTTTAACTCTGTAACTTCTGAAGTTAAAGGAAATACTACAATCATTTTAAGTGATCTGAAATGTCTTGGCAATATCAAGTTCATATCTGATCCTGAAAAGGGAGTTGCCAGTGACAGTTTCGCTTTTTTGAAGAAGTGCTCTAGGTATTTCTTCCCGGAATGAAGCTGCTTTGAAGACGGCAGCAGTCATTAGCTGTATAAAAAGAGCTCTCAAAGCAAGGGCAGGTTTTTGTTTGCTCTGAGAATCTAGCCTCCAGTAGAAAAAACAATACATATGCTTCCCTCTGATGCTGGAGAGAGGAAAAAATCATCTAAAAAATATTTCATTAGGTTGTCTTGTAGATCCAGCAGGGAGGAGGAGGGAAAAAAAAAGCTGGGTCTCTATCAAACACAAACCCTCAGTAAGAAAGATGAGCCTTGCACAGTGCTGTGAAGATCAGCTAAGCATACCCTGTGTTAAACCGAGCAAATTCCAAAGAGAAATTTCCATTGCAAAGGTTTTCACTGTTTCTCATGCGTTCCTGTCCTAGAAATTGGCGCAGACGTTTCTGCTAACAATCAAGCACTGTGGCAGCGCAAAGACTGAAAAACTTCCAGAGACTGCTTGGTCTAATGGAGAAAAGATCCCTTGGTTGTATGCCTTCCAGCTCCTGAAGGCTTTGAGCTAGAAATTGTTTCTTCATCCTTCCCAGCAGCTTTACGTATACACAGAGCAGATGTGAGGTACTGGAGCTCTCCCTGGGAGTTCTCTTCCAGTGGACTTGTTTCCACAGCGTGGTCTCTATCTGCTGAACCTGGACGCCCGGTATGTCTCAACTCAGCTAGTGAAAACAGAGCTGAAAAAATGGAAGAAAAGAGCAGAAAATGGCTTCAAAGAGGGGAACTGCTGCGCATATTCTTGCTGGAGTTTGGTCACCTCCTCCTAACTGAAGACTGATGCAGGTGCAGTCACTGTTTTCTCAGTCTGAAGTCTGATTAGAAGATGTCAAGAAAACGGGCATCTTAGCCCTGGATGCACATTTCAACAAAATTAGTATTTAAAGACTAATAGTTATCACACTACTGTTATGATTTTTTGATTGGGGCAGTAAGGTTTTTAACTCCTTGTTGTGCAGGGCAGGGTAAGCTGAGAGGGGATCTGTTTTGCAGAAAAACCGTTTTCAATAGGGGGTGGGGATTCCAGGTGGCAATGGGATTCTTACCTGCTATGCGCGCACATTTTCCACATCATGTAGAGCTTCTCTTCCCCCATATCCTTGGAATACAGGACTCTATCCTAAAGAAATTCCATAATTCATCTAGTCGCATGATTTGTTAGCTCCATATATGCCAACAGCTACCTTCCTTAGCGCAATGCTGGGAAGAAAAGTCAAAAAGTCGGTAGCAGGAAGGAACACAAGCGCCTAGTCGCACAGTGCCAGCTCCAGCTTCCTGGAGCCTCCAGCAGAGGCCCAGCAGCCAGGTTTCCAGCAGTCAAACAGCTGGGGTAGGAGGAGGAGCATTGCCAGACACTGCAGCTTGGAAGTCCATCCCATTAAGTTGTTGTAATAGCCCTGGGCGTTGTTGGCCCAACCTGAAACACACGCTCCCACATGATTTCTGGATGTGGTTTGTGAGTTAACACAGACTGAGGGCCTGGGGACAACAGGTAAGTTTGCTCGCAGTGATTGTTTGGACGGGTAAGAGTTTATTGGTACAGACAGAAAAACAATCCCCATTGCATTAAATTTGTACAAATAAAAGCAACAGGGCTGGGCACTGTTGTTGTGTGTCCACTTTTGATGTCATAGGTGCTGTAGCAGTATCAGAACCTAATAGCTTTATGTCTCTTGGTATCATGTTCGCTCGGAACTGTGATACCACTGTGTAATGACATCCCATCTGTCATCGTTAAAGAGAAACGATAAAATGATTGCTTGGACTACAGATTTTTCAATTCCATTACCTAGAAAATTGAAAGTCAGAGGCATGGCAAGAGTTGAAAATCTGTAGGTTTATAAGGAAATTCTTGCTACTGCATTTAACTGTGGCATGCTTGAAGGAAGCAGTTATACTGTCCCCCTAACAGAGATGCTGACAGTTACCATTATATCCCAGTACAGGAGACAGAGAGATGGGCCAGCAGGGAAGTTTTTTTTAAGGAACACATTTTGAAGATTAACAGAATGACAACATATGTCCAAAAATCAGTTCTCTAACAGAGTTGGGGAAGCAACAGGATAGACGCTAACTCAGTATTGAAGTCCTTTCTTACGGGATGTTATCAGACCATGCCATCGGACTGTTGTGTGTGAACCTATAATTTTATCCAGGTCCAGCAATATTATATATGCAGGTCAAGTGTCTTTAATAGTGCCAGTAAAATATGTAATGCGATACATAAATACTGAAACATGCATGTGAAAACATAGAACTTGAAAGTCCTGCTGTGCGAACAGTATCCAGATGTGAGTTGTGCTATTAAAAAGAGGGTTATTTAAAATAGTAAGAATAACAGAGTGGTGTCTTCAGCTATCTCATTATCTTAGAAGATTTGAGAACAGACTCAGCAGCTGTTTTTATATGAAACTGTATTTTGTATGATGGAATACAGGAGAGAAGAAGGATTGGAACTTTGTGGTTACCTGATTTTTAAATGACTGGGAAATGGGAAATGCCATACTATTTGTTCAGATATAGTTATTGACAGACATGGAAGGATTTGTTGTTAAACTAGAGAGAACTATTTTCCCTAAGTACTAAATACTAGCTGTAATGTAGAAAAGAGGATTTTTCAGTTTATTTTGCTGCTTGTTAAATAAAAGGTCTTCCTCTAATCAAGTTATCTCGTCCATTTCTTGCTCAAATCTTACACCATTGTCAGAAGGTTATTGTTATTGTCTGACTTTAGAAAACAATTAGAGAAATGGTTTCTCTCATGTTTCTTTCTCCATCACTTATTTATCATAAAAGCACGGTCTGTGCAAACTTTGATCATATACTCAACATCCTTTTTTATTATAAATAGACAGATTCCTCTTTAGCCCTAGTTTAGCCTTATTTTTTTTCCTGTTTGTTGATCTTAAATGCTCAGTTTCCTCACCCTTCTGCCTTTTGCTCTCCTCTTCCTCCTGAGTCTTCTAATTTTCATCCATCCACACACTTTCCAGGTAACGTACTGTACATAAGAAACATAAAAATATTCATAAGTGACACTGAGATAAATACTTTCATCCATTTCTGAATTGCCTTGGCTATAACACAAATTTTATTTTGTTTGTTAGAATGTTATGGAACAGTTCAATCCGGGACTGCGGAATTTAATAAATCTGGGGAAGAATTATGAAAAAGCTGTTAATGGTAAGTCTTTTGGGTGTTAACTTTAGAAACAATATTTAATTTTAATTTAATTAATTTTCATATTGGATGTGAGGACTTGTGTAAAAGCTTAAATTCCAAGTTGAACTTGCATTTATAAAACAAACTAAAAATCACAAACACTTCAGCGTATGTACCTCTTCTACCTCCTCTTTTTTTTTTTTTTCTTTAATTTGGGAGGGGAAACAGGATTTTGGCCAAGTTCAAACACTGTCCTGCAGAAGCTGCATCCCAAACACATAGGCACTGAGCTACTGAAAAAAATTCTTTTAAAAAGTATGAATAACACATATTAGAATCATAATATAAATTGAAGAAACAGTTATTCAAGATAGATATTGGGGTTTTTCCTCCTGGAAATACCTTCCAGATATACTTCACGATTTTAGATTTGTTCCTGCTCACCTGTACACGTGTCAGTGTATGAGTAAGTATGCCTATTAACAGAACAACATGAATGAGTAAGAGTTGCAGGAGTGGATTCAATTTTTTCTTAACCATACTAAATCTGATGGCATCTTTCTAATGGAGTCAAAATCACAATCAGAAAATTTGAATCTAAGGGCACAGTTTTTCAGACTTTATAATGTGTTTGTTTACTTCCATCATTGACTTAAGAGAAACTATTTATGTAAGAATTGTTTTCCAAGACTGGGCCCTAGATTCCCAAAGCTTATATTGTAGGACCTGTTAGAGCTTGCTCTATTTCACTTATGCAGACCTGTTGAGCTGCTTGATACCATATTAAAGCAATGTAAAATGTCTCCAAATTTGCCTCATTAAAGTCTGTGACACGTATTTCCCTACATGTAATCTAGCACTCTGAGAAATGTGATACTGCAGAAGTAGTGCATAGCCAAATAGTCACTGAAATATCTCTTCATGCAAATTTTAGACAAGGCTTGAGACAAAGATAAAAAACAAAGCCTGCTGGAGATGAAAATAAGGAAATGTTGACTTAGTTGCAGTACCTCACCTTACCTGATTCATTAGCAAATGCAGTTTATGGATTATAGCTAGTACCAGAAATAATATGTTTGTCTGGAAAAAAAAAATTATAGCAGTTGTCAAGAGTTGCCTTTTTTTTTTTTTTTTTTTGTACTGTACTATTGGTACATTATGTTGTGTCTTTTGTCTTCTTAAAATTCAATTTGTTATCAGTAATTCACAGTATAGCTGTGCCCAGCAACACTGGAGAGAGTCTGATAGGCATTGTGTTTTACAAAATTTGCATTTAAGACTGGTTGATAAAGCTTTTCTAGTATGAATGCTTAATTTCACATGAGTAAATGTTTGCAACATTGCAGCAACTGTTGAGAAAGTGTTAGTCATCTTTGGGCTCTCATAAATCATTAATCTTTACTCCATAAATTCTGAGTGGTATAAATAGATCTTCAACAAGGAGTAAATATCCTGTTGCTAAACAGCCAAACATTTTGCAGCTTTCCAAACAAGTCAGAGTGGTCTGACAAAGAATACAGAGCTTCCAAAACTTCTATTGGATTTATAATGCGTCTTTGTGCATTTTGAGGCTAAGGGGTCAAACCTCCTTTTCTGCACAACTACCGTTTACTAGCTGTAGTACTAATGAAGATACTATACAGATGGAGTTCTTGATTTAGCTTGATAAACACAGGTAAAAAAAATCACGTTTTCTTCCTTTCTTAGTGACTACACTAGGAGGTAAGATTGACTTGGGGCTATCTGAGAAGGCATTAGATAGGCAGAGTTGAAATGACACAAGCTTTTCATAAACATGTGGCAGACTGCTCCATCAGTAGCACCAACATAGTTGGTGGTGCTATTTTTTTTTCCTAAACTTTTTTTTTTTTTTTCCAACAGCTTTATCTGTACCAGGGAGTTTTGCTATGTCCTGGTACTAAACCAACCCACTGATGCTGATTGCTCCTGGGTTTATGTGAAAGTTGGAACTAAAGACTACAGCTTTGCTGATACACTTTGATGTCCTGTCTTTCTGTCACCTGGTTTCACAAACTAGGAGGTAGCACAGGGACTTCAGTAACTTCTTCCAGCAGCAGGATTTCCTTTTTGCCATGCAATGCTCTCTTTCTTTGTGTCCTGGATTCCAAAATTTCATAAGATCATAGATTAATGAAAATATAAAATCTTTCCATATTTTTAATTTTTTTTTTTCTTCCCTATAAGCTATGGTAGTGGCTGGAAGAGCATATTATGATAGTCTTGCAAAGATTGGTGATATATCAGCTGATTCTCCTGTTTCTAAAGAATTAGGTAAGTGATTTTTTTTTTTTTAATATTTTATAACCAAAACTTATTTTTTGTTTTCCTACTGACACTTCACAGAACTAATGTGAAGTACAAAAGTATTAGAAAAAGAGCATTTTACTCTTTAATAATGCATAGATGGAAGGAATTAGATCACCTTAAAATGTATTTTTTTCTAAGGAAACATGCTATTTTCATCAAAAATGTCAGTAAAAGTTCTCAGATATATTATATTAATATTCTAGTTGAGCTTTTGAATGAGGAACTGTAGAGTAAAATATATAATTTAGTCTATCAGTAGCCATTTACATTAATGTAAAATTAATCCAAATTATGTACTTTCCTGAAAATAATTTCTGAATTTTTCAAAGACTGTCGTCAGCACTGCATCTTGTATTCCTTTGGCTAGCATTGAAATGATATTGCTCAATCTACAAAAGTGAAGTTTTCATCAAAGTACTTATAGTATTTCTGACAAAAATATAACAAAAAAAAAGCAAAAAAAAAAAAGCTATGCTGCAAAGAGGAAACATTGTTTAAAGGCTTGATTTGCTTTTTGACTAAAATAACGGGATAAAGTGTCTTTCGATTATGGGCAATCTTTACTTTTGATTATGGGCAATGTAGGACTCTTTCATTGGTATAATGTGCATCTGCTGCTGTAACTAACTTGGAATAGTATGCAAATTTAGCTGATTAAAAGGAATGGTTTTAGTAATTTTTTCTTAGTGATTCTCTTGAAGGTGATTTGAGGGAAAGACTCTCCTTGAATGGTGACCACAGGTTTCTATGCACCTGCATATATTTTTCATTTGTTCTGAAACCTCTTCTGTGTGTTAACATTCTGTGTTCAAAGCTGGGAGCGGCAGAACAGCAAACAGTACAAAGCAAACAGTCCGAGGGTAGTTACTTTCTGTATTTGCTTTGCAAGTTGTTTACAGGAAACAGAGTTGCTAGTTTTAAACCATAGAACAAAAGTATGAGAAAGTTAGAAGTATCAACCATTCAGTCTTATAAAAATGTCAACAAAAGCATAGTTATGATTTTTGTAATCAAGCAGTGGGTCAAATACATAGAAGTAATCTATTTGTTGAACTTTGTATTGACTGTGGGATGTTATCTGCATGTTTGAAAATATCATTGGGTAGTCTCGAGCTAAATTCTGTTTCTTCCCTACTACAGGGGCATTACAGAACTGTGCTTGAAAATAGATTTTTGGTTTAATTATAAATTCTTTCATGCAGTTAAAAACATTTTTCTAGACACACTGAGAAAGTATTGCCTTCTTCAGGCTCAGGTGTCTAGCACTGTATTCTGTTCATCTTCTACTTAAACTGGTACTGCAATAAAAATCTTCCTAAGGAAGACAGCAACTCTGGATTTCTTCCAGCATACTTTCTGATAGAATACTTAAATTAGTGAACATTGGAAAAGCCAAGATAATGTGGTTACACATCTGCGACAGATTAGTTACATTTTCTTAACTTTCTTGATAGTTCTGAAGCTGGACAATGATACTGAGCTATTTAGAAAAGGATACACCCCAGACAGCTGTAAAAGCATCTTTCCTTAAAACAAAAACCCATACTGGACAGCTCTTACCTTTTTGTATTTTAGAAATACTAAGAGAGATGCTAGGCAGTATTGGATGTGTAAAGACTAGATCAAACTTTGCTGTGATGCACTCCTTTGAGGACTCTATTAACCCTAGCAGAGTTACCACAGGCTCAGCGCACTGCAGAATTGTCTCCCAAGAGTTCCCTTTAGATTTGCCAAAATGTGTGTTATCAACTACCAACAGCTCTATCACGCATAATGCTTCAGGCACCCTTGCCAAAACAGAGTTCAGCAGTCATCAGTTTGGTTTTATGACCTACCTGTGACCTGCCTTACAGGACTGTATTCTCTTGAGAATGAAGTGAGCTGACACTGGCTTGGTTTACAAGAGCAGCAATCTACAGGTGACTGGCAAAGAAGCAGAGAGCAGCAATTTCCATAATTTTATGCGTGCACGTTATCTGTATCCACATCTGACTGCTCTGATATTTCCGTAACCTCTTACCTTGCCCTGGTTTTAAACTGCATTACGCCTCTTTCTATATCCTATATTAGTTGAAATCAATAGCAGTAATCCCACAGATGTCGGTAGGGGGATCATGATATTTTGAGTATATAAAACATCATCCTGGCTGCTCACAATGAATTAGATAAACCAACAATGACAAGAGCTACGTGTTTTAGAATGCTTTAATTTTGAGCATGAGTTGAGCTCCTGTGGTCTGGATTTTCGGTGTTAAGGGCTTTGGACAGCCAGCAAATTTAAACGTTTTAATTTGAGTAATAAAAATTGAAACATCCAAAGTAAGTATTGAAACTAATACAGCCAGTCTGTCTGAAAACAAACAAAAGAACCCTGTGACTTATCTATTTAATCAAAATCAGGTCAATTGGTGTATGGATGGCAAGGCTTTACAGAAATTACCTTTTTTTTTTCAGAAATCCATGGTGTTGTTTTTTTACCTCACTGTGTCAACTACAGCAGAAATGAAGGGAAAGCAGATCATCAAATTATTTTTGACTCAACTTAAATGTAGACGCTTCCTGCATTGACTTTGTGTTTACAGCAGAAAAGTACCACTCACTAGGTACTTTTTGGCTGTAAAATGAGATACTAGAACAGGATTCCCCCCTTTTGCATAGCAGCCTGTGTTTTTTGCAGATACACTTCATATTAACATCAGCGTTCTGAAGACTGAACTGGACAATAAGGCAGGAATCAATGTTTCAGCTCTTCTCTGTAGCAATGTCACCTCCAGCAGTGTCAGATGAAAAATAATGTATTATTCTTAACTCAGTCATGTTGCATTAAACTTCTTTCACTTAATTACAAAAGACTACAAGGCTTAGACGGCTAAAATACAGTATTATTTCTAATTTATGGATAATGTTTACTGGAAGATTATACTGAGTCATTTTACAGTTCAAACCCAAACCTGCTGGGTGACCTAGAGTATATTTACTGCCAAGTGTGATGTAAAGATTTGTATCAAAAACACAGTCAATCTTTCCTTCTCATAAGGAAACACAGAACACGTTCTCCCTGTAACGAGACAGTAAAATGGAGAGTGCTTTCTTCCCTCTTCTGCTCCCATCTCGGTCTATGGAAATGAGAATGAAATGGAAATCCGGATATTCCAGATGATTCAGAGCTTTTGTACTAAGTATCTATATCTTTCAAGTCTAGCTAAAGCTCTCTGAAATATTTTAATACAGAATAATTTAATACGAGTAAGTTGAGGAAGCAAATGAATAATGCATTCCTAATACAATTCTGATAAATAAGGTATAAGTGTATTTAGGTTGACTTCCTTTCTAATTTTGTATTTTCCTAAATTTCTAAGCTTGTAGTCCCTCAGAATTAGCTACAAGAACTATACACATGCATGTTATATTCCTAAATTCAAGTTATTTTCCAATATGGAATTTCCATGTCTTTCTTTTCTAGGAACCTTTTCTAAATCACACCAGGAATTAAACATAGCAAACAAGAAACTGCTCATTTAAAAATGTAGTTTCATGCTATTTAAATTACAGCGTATCATAAAATTTCAAGTTTCAATAATGCACTAAAATTCACATGTATACATTAGCACTGTATCAGCATTAAAGATACAAACTTTCATGATGGTAATCTTATCTTACCCAAAATACAGGTTTATGAGGCTTTATCTAATGGATTTTTTAGTGCTTATAATTTTAATAAACTCTCTATTCTAATAATGTAGGTTGTCTTTTCACGCTTTCTCAAGGAATCAGGAAGTTTTCCTGCACGTTCATTGAATACTTCTCATGTTTTCCCAACTATCCCCTTGTAGGTACAATAAATGGCAGCTGCTAAATGTGTTTATAGTACTGTGGGTATGAAGTCCCAATTTGGTTGTTGTGTGGCAACTGTATCTATAGCAGTCACCCACAGTTATATTACGGGTCTGTACATAGAGCTTATTGCTCAAGAACTAATAAGTGTGAACTGTTCACTGCTGCTCATGCAACAGGTAGACAGATCGTAAGAAAAATACTGTATTGTATGGTCTTGACCTGTGGAACTGAATTGCAGAAATTTGTGGCAAAAGGAAAAGCAGAGACAAAAACCTCTTTTCTATTCTACCTAAACTGTTAGTTTATTTAAAGATTAGTCTGTGTCATAAGCTTACTGTTTTTATAGTCTCATTCTGTTAAAACTTATCTGGAAACAGGTATGCAAAGCTATTGCTCACCTACAATCTGAAACTTAAGAATTTGTTAAAAACAGGGGTTTTGTTTGTTTGGTTTTAGGAGAAGTTTTCAGGTTAAAAACCACTGCAGGTAATTTACAGAACCAAGTACTGGGCAGAAAGATTGCTCTGTGCTGTGCCAGTCACAAGGCTGGGGAAGGGAGCCCCTTACGGTGCAAACAGTAAGTGGAATGCTTGACCGAGGAGAGCCCTGAACTTGATGTTCTGCTTGGGCACAAAAGGCATTGACAGTCCTTCTAAAAGGGCTAAAAGACAACACTTGAACATGTCCACATAATGTAATTTTAAAGGTCTCCAAAACTTTGTCATGCTTTAAGTACAAAACATCCACTGAAGTGATACAGTAATATAGTAATTACACATAATAATACTATGACGTGGATAACTCAGGGCAGGAGTTCTCTATATAAACTTTTTTTTTTTTTGAAAGTCCTTATTCTTCTGTTAGTCAAATGCCTATAGTTACTGGGGTAACTGCGGATCAGTTTGAGAGTCATGACTGATAACTCACAGGTGAGCTGAGAAAATAAGCTAGTGAGTGGTGAATATGCCTACAATGCATCCAATAGTGAGCATTTCTTATCTGTTTGAATGGACTAAAAATTAACAGGATCATATAATTCTTTTGGTAACTGTTTTCTAGTTTTTCAAAGCAAACTAACAGTAATTTGATAATAATATAAATCTAATAATAACATAGTTAAGTTAAGTCTGTAGTGAACACTGTCTAATTTTATTTTATTTTCTAAGTGATAACTACTTCATTTTACATATTCAGATAAGAGAAACCCAGTGAACTTTTCTCCACTTCCTTACTTCAATTTGTAGAGAATTTTGATGTGAGAATCTGTGAGCTTAGTGACCAGTTAATACAGGGAAAAAAAAAATCGGAATTGAATGGGAAAACTTTTATTTTACTAAAAAGTATGTATCTTCTGGCTGAAAAATTTCTATTCAGACTGTAATGTAATGTAATACCATCTTTCTAAAGCACTATCTTGCAAGTAATTGTCATTCAAAACTCTTTTTCCTTCCTTATTAATAAGCAACATGGCCATTTGAGCCTGTACTATCTCTCGCTACTTCTGCGATACAGCACTTCAGCATTGCTCTCACTATTGAGAAAGCCAAGCAGAAAAACAGAAAATCTAACAATTTAGGATAAATGTAGCTAGTTGCCCATAAATTTAAAAACAAAACTAAAAAGGGGGGCAGAGGGAGCAGTGGAGGGAAGAGTTGTTGGCTTGCTTTAGCATATAAACTGACCCGTTCAGCTGGACTCTTGTCTCAGTTGTCTTCGAAAGATGACACCTAGCACGCTTTCCCTCACTGGCCTGTGTAATCTAAAGAAAAGATCTGTCATCTTGTCCCATCTTACTTACTGCATCGGTGTCGTCTCCTCTATAGTATAAATGTTCTACTTTTAGAATAGATTCTGTTGGATAGAAAGGCAAGTGAAGTGTGCCAGCAACTACAGAACCTCTTTAGCACTTCATCTTGTGGAAACTTCTGGGAAACTAGCTTAGAGGTTACAGTTGAAGCAGTCGGGATATCAGGCCAGCTTTTCCTATGGAGCATTAATAAAACACTCTTCTATATTTATAATGAAACGGAATTGGAAGAAGCGACTGAATTCTTATAAAAAGAAAATGTCTTGAATATGAAACACAAAGTAGTTTTCTGTTTCTCAGGAGTGAAGTTTTATGTCTTCTAATTTTGTGGTAACATTAAGTCTCAATGCTACATAGACCTCCAATAGTAAGCTAGGAGGAGATGAGCCAGCCTTTCTAGATATATTTCTACTGATGGAAACAGAAGCTGAGTTAGTGGAAACTTCCCGCTAGTCATAGTTCTACTTTTCCAGGTCATTTATAAAGTTAAACCAAGCCAAACATTCTGATTGACAATTTTTTTCCTCTAGAATTGGTACTGTGGCTTTTGATGCTCAGTATTCTGCATGTAAACTTTTGATGTCTGGTGAAGGAAAGCAAAACAAAGAAAAAGAAAACCTTCAGTCTTAAATTCTTAAACACAAACAACTCCATATCACCTAGTAAGCTGCCTGCCCATGTATTGCAGAGCTATTGGAAGCTGTATGTGTTCACTGATTTATAAATCGAATCAACTATTCAGATACTCATAAACATTCCCTGCCAATGGCCTGGTAAAAACTCCTGCAAGTCAAGGTGTTCATAAGTCAAAAAAAGAAAGGCAAGAGACACCTGTTTTCCTGTTGCTATCCAGAACCATAATTAACAAAAAAATCACAAAGCAATAAATAATCAGTGAGGAGGAGGAGTCTCTTTTCTGAAGTTCTACAATCCTTCTCTGCTAAAATATGATCCTGCCAAGAGAAGGAGTGAACAAGAGGTGTGTACGTTAGTACATATAGAGAATGTAAATACTTAAAAACAGATATTGGGGCTTGTTCTTGTAAGATTAAAAAACAGAAGTTTGTTCTATCGCATCATTCTAGTTGTAAGGTACAACAACTTAAAGCTAAGGTGCAAATTTTCTGGTTCTGGAAATGGCTGAGGGGAGTAACAGAATATGGAAACACAAAAATTTCTTTGAACAATTGCAGGGTGCTAGTTGCAGAATAATACTAGCCCCAGAGAAGAAAAGACAACGGACACAGATATGACTTAAATGGTATTTTTCAGATTGAATTCTAGACGATCTCAAGGTAATCGTTCATATTGCTCAGATAATTTCAGTATTTTTGTATTTTTTCCTACAGCAACCTGTAAACTGAAGCTGATTCTGGTATTTGATTTATATTCAAAATAAAAGTGGGTGTGCACTTACTTGATATCATCATGCAGTGCTTCAGAGGTCTAAGAAAATAGGGAAAATACCTTGAAGGGCATTCTTGAAGATACCTGACTACCAGAACAGTTAAATTTCACATGAGCCTCACTGGTAGCACAGAGATCTTTCATCTTGCAATGAATTGCAACATGTACATGCAACACTTACTTGATTGTGTCTTGTTTTTATGTAGAAAAGAGTAGTTCTAAAGTGAGAGAATGTGTGTTCTGTGCATAGTAGGTACCTGTTCCCTGGCAGCACTCCTAACTTACCCAGACACGATACAATCGCAAGATACTGGGGCTGGTGCAGGCAGGGGGCTGTTCTCTCAGCTGATGCTAAGCAATCAGTTTTTCTTCACTGTCTCTACCCCCAGGTATGTCTGTTGGCAGGAAAAATAAAAATAAAAAGCCTTGAGAGCCTGTGTAGAGGCTTCTTTCTGTCTACTCCAGTGCAGAAATGGATGGAAAATAGAAAGTGAATGTCATCATTGCAATGAAAACTGCATCATGCATGTAACTAGCTTGTAAATCCTTTAACCAAAGGTCTACCTGTATTTTCTCTGTACAGTCAGCTCTTACTAATTATTTGTTAAACAACAACAAAAAAATCCAGCATCAGTGGTAGATGTCATTAACATTCCTAAGGAAAAAAAAACATCTGCCTTGAAATTCCAAGAGAAAAACTTTTGTCAAAACTGTAAGCTGCATTTGCATTTGGATTGTAAGCTGGATTTCATTTTTATTTTTTTTTCAAACTGGCTGTTTCAAATTGATGTGATTAAAAAAAATGCTGTGACTACTTGCACTTTATTGAATTTCATGTAGCATTTACAATGACAATTTAAGTATTTATCCTTTTTGTTAGTACTGGAAACCCATAAAGAGCCTCCGTTTTTGTTGGTTAGTATAATTTTCTTGTTCCAGTCCTGCTGAAAAACAGAGATTAGCTCTGTTGTATGATCTTCCCTAACTAATCTGCCTAAAAACAGCAGGGCGACATACAGGCAAGTTCAGGCCTGTGGCTGCACTCTAACTTATTTTCTTTGCACCTGACTTGCATGAGGATTAGAAGCTACTTGTTCAACACCATTGCAGAGCTCAAATATAAAAACCGTGTATATAAGGTTTTCAAGGCCCTATGAAAGATCAGTCAGTGTAGCACATACCTTAATATATTGTGTTTTTTTACATATGGGTAAAAAAGAAATGCCTCCAGCAGTTTTTAAATATATTAGTAATGGAGTAACAGGTGGAAAAACAAGTTTGCCATTTTTCATGCATTATTTATGTGGCATGTGCTTTTCCTTTCCTTTTTTTTAATATGAAATATAGTTACCATGCTTACTAATCATCTGAAACAATATAAATATTTCATGTTAATTAACATATGATCAATGATATAGTAGGTTTAAAAAAATTTAATCTGATTTTTTTTTTTGACTGAGAGATCAAAACAGTTTGGGAGAAAAAAAGGCAATTAGACTAGCAGACTGGAATTTGCTAAAACTGGAGTAAACTCACACTTCTCTTTAAAATAATATAAGCTATTTTTTGGTTGTTGTTCTGTTTAAAATCCTAAAATAGGAGCATCTCACCACAAACAAACTCCAAGGAACTGGAAATTGTAATAATCTTGATAATCTCTTATGTATTCACTCCAGTAAATTCTTAAGTGGGAATGGCTAATTTATGAACAGTTTATTGCCTACAATGTAGCACGTAGTGCATGATATGCATTTTGTAGTACTTTTTAAAATCATTTGTACTAAAGCCAAAGTATTTGGCATTAATTTTAGACTAAATATACTTTAAAATAAGTTAATACCTGGGTTTATCTTAATATGACTTTATAAAAAGGTCATAGACTTTGAAGTATACAGAGCTGAAAAGTTCTGTATCTTTTAATACTTAATAATGCCATAGTTAAAGAATAATAATAATTTTAAATTATTTTTATTTTTTATCTATGTGTTAGGAAAGTACTTCATTATGGAGTTTTATCCTTTTTTGTTTTACATGATCAACAATGTTTTAAGACAAGGAAAAGATAAATGCATAGTTTAGATCCTGATCTACAAAAGAAAATGGTATAAATAGTAGGTGCTAGGCTAATAAGTAAAAGCAAATTATGCTCTATGCCTTGACTGTCTATGAAATGGGGAAAGGATTTTTGAATAGCAGGAGTCTTTGATTATACTCCTCACATGGAGAACAGCATGTCGTCTAACATGGTAAGTGTCAAAGAGAGCATTGCCAAGTGTGTGCTCTAACAAAGCTTATTCCAAAGAACATAGATAAGCTGCTGAGTGTTGGTGGTTAGGCTTTTTGTTTTTTTTTTCTCCCTTTAGAAACACAAATTCATTTTGGGTAAAATCCTAGCCAACCTTTTATAAATGCTCCTGACTGCATTTTCCCAGCCAGCTCCACCAGGTAGTACGCCTGTGGTGGTTCATTACCACCGAGAAGACAGAAGTCTTGGAGAAGGTGGTGGGCACCGTTGAGTTGTTGCCAGCAGTGCAGCGTATGCCACTAGCAGCGTGCTGTGCTGTGGGGCTGGAGGCGTGCTAGGAGAGGATGAGCAACAGACACTGGCACTGGCAGCCTGCTACCAGCAACCTTTTTTTTTCCCCTCTTCTTTTTTATCCTGATGCTATTCAGTTTTGGCACAGAGGGAACACGCTGTCAAATGCATATATATTTGTATGCATATGCTATATATATATCTATCTATATATGTACAAAGATGCACATAAAAAAGCTAATACTCCAGGAAGCATAGAACCAAACCTAGTGTGCAGCATTGGTTGTAAAGGTACAATGGTAAAAGATATTTTTCTTCCAACAGAAGAAAGTGTGCTGTAGCTAGAAAGCAGTCTCTGCTGATCAAAACAGCTCTGGACTCCTGTTGAATAACGTTGCCTATGATGGAGCTGGAAAGAAGCTGTTTGACTGGATAAAAACAGAGATTGTATTCCCTCCACCCCTTTTTTGTTCTCCTTGATTATAACTTTAAGCAACTGCAAATTTCACTTTCATCAAACATACATTAAAAGCTACATGCTTCCCTCGTCAGTAGCCTTGTGAGGAACACAGGCAGTGAAGTCCGACGAAAAGGAGAAAGAGCAGCATGAGTTTATCACCACCTAATAACATTGGAGCCCAAATCAATAAATTAGCAAGTGTCTTGTATAATCCTAGTTGTTGCTTATTGTTTTGGGCTGGAATGGAACCATGATACTTAGGCGTCTTCCAGGCTCTTTGGAACTTTGGAAGGTTTTCTCTCTTCTGTATCGATCAGACTTTATCTAAAAGGGTTTTAAGCAACTGGAAGTAAGGTAGCTTTTGGGAAGAAAAACAGGTGATCAAACAGAGCTATGGAGAAATTCAAACTTCTCAACTGAAACCATTAAATCTGTTTCAGATAATTACCTAAAATATTGTGGGTTGTGTAACTTGAGCTAATCTCAGAGGAAAAATGATGCTTTAAAAGCAACTTCATATAAAATGCTTAAATAGTTAAAGGGGTGATAAAAGAATGAGATTGCATTCTAAATGAATATTTGCTGCAGTTTATTTTGTGTTGGAGCCTGGTGTAGACAACTCTGACAACACTCGATGTTAAGAGGGCTGCATTTTTGCTGCGTGAACTTGCCATAGCTGAAATGAGAAGCAAGGCTGTTCTGTGCCCAGCATACTATTGACTAAGATGGCATTAATTTATTATTAACTTCAGATATAGTAGGAGCCATTGAATTAAGAAAACAACAAAAATATTTTTGGAAAGTGTTTTCATATGTTTTCTGACTTTATCGGGAGGGGAGAACGCCTACCCGTATAAGAAGTCATATTCCTATTCTGCACTCAGAACAGGGCATATGCCTATTCACAGTAGTCTGACCGAATGGACAATGAGGTTGACAAATTGATAACACATTCAAAAGATTGTAATGTGAGCTGCCTGTGATAAAACTGTCAGGGATCTGTTTGGTCAAAAAGCCAGTTCAGTGGGATAAGCGTGGACGTTCAGCATGCAGCAGACTGATACGAACTCCATTACCTCCCCTGAGCTGGGTTTCTGAAGGGCTAGACTTTCCGAGGTGGTACAGTTCCAGAGTTAGGTTTTGGCTTTGCAGTTATTTTATATCTGCTATGGCTTTCTGGAAAAGAAAATATTTTCTAATAATTGATTTTTTAAAATGTATGCTTTACCCAACAAGTTTCCAAAATTTGTTTTAACTGTATTCCTCTCGCGTATAGATTTTATTCATATTACTTATGTGCTGTTCTAGCAAAACATAACTGTCCATTCAGAAGTGCTGTTTTGGGATAGTTGGATCTAGCACGTATAAGGGACATTCAAATACTTTATTATACTCTGAAATCTCTTCCCTGTTTCCCGGCTGCAGGTTTTGTTCTTCTTATTCTTCCCCTTCACCTTCTGCAGTCACCTTCATAAAATGGCATTGAATGGTCATGTGTCAACGCTGTTTTATAAAATGAACTACAGAGAGATTTACTCCTTGCTTCCTATTTCATGTTCACTCATGCAGTAAGGAAAGGCAGACTTGACCTAGTCCTACTGATTTATGTGCATATTAGTATTAATTCTACAGATTGTGTTGTTTTGTAAAGTATTCTGGACAAATTGTATTAGAAGCAGAGTAGTTAGAGGTTTGGAAACCTTTGCATTGCTTTCTTTCCTTATTATTTTTTTCCTGTATATTACATTCCATTAAGATTTTTTGCCTTCTTTAAGGCATCTGCTGCACAATTAAAACCTTCTGCAATAAATCCTATGAGAGAATAATAAATTTAATGCATTTGAGGCTTAACAGATGTTTAGTTCAATCATATTTATCTGTTACACTCTATTCCTTTGAAACTTCCTATTTTACTGCCTTTCAGGGGCTAATGGCTTCAAAGGACATTGTTTCCAACTTTCCTTTGTCATAAACGCCTTTCTTCTGGGCAAAGGGTAACTTGGAAGAAAGAGCATCTCAACAGAAATGGGATCTAGTAATACACTTGAACTAGATTGTTTCCATCTGTAGCTTTGACTCAGCCTTTCGCTCTTGTTTAACACAAATAATGATGTGGTTTCATCTTGAATACATGAAGTTACTAGACCTGCTCTGAATGCAAAATAGGACAACAGGAGATAAATGAGTGATTATAATTGAGCACTTTTGTCTGTTCCCAGACATCTAAGAAAGTCTTACTAGAAAGACTTGAATTTTTTTCCAGTGACCTCCTCTAAGGAAAAACATTTAATTTAAAAATTAATTAAAATTTAAAATTTAATTCTATTTCAAGTAAGTGATACAATTAATATATTTTATTCTAATGTAATCATTTAGTATTTTAAAAGTGTAAGTGATTT